TAGAAAAGATACAAAGATAATTCAGTCCATGCTTCTAGAACTAGCAATCGACCTAGGTGACAGGATGCATTATAAGTTGGTGATATATCCCTCTCTCCGATCATGGTGCCATCAACAAGTGAGACAATCATAATGTGGACTTCTGATGGATGCACCCAGATTCAGTGACACACCAATTCCATATATGAATCATGAAAATGAAATTTATATAGATATCTAAAATATTGTGTGTATGTGATAAGTATCCAAGATGCATATACAGGATACTATAGATTCACATTTAAATTTTCGGGTTTCTAAATTGCAAGTCTATGTCATCAGGTGTAATCTACTGTGAATCAACTGCTTGGATTTTCTAACCATACAACTCAACTCCAATTCTTGCTAAAAAATGACAGACTAGACAAAAACAGAAAACAATACGATATGACATGAAGGATAGGGATCATGAATGACCAACAACCTTATAAGCTTAAAAAACACTCCCACAAGAAAAATATGAACATACGGATCAAATTGCAGCCAGCCTCGGCCCAAGTATCCTTCACGCATATTGGTCCATACATGCAGCCTACAATTAGATTGATTGCTTCTTAAAGCAATTGCCAACACTTGATTTATTAGCCTCCATTTCCCAATATAACCACTGCTCACCTTCTTTATTGAATACAGTTTAAATTAGCTCCGCTAATGCTCTCTAGGAGTTTCATTGCGTTGGCATTATTTAATAATCCAGAGCGCGCACAACTATTGAAGGTTACAACTCCAAGTCACCAGGTATCACAAAGCAAGCCCACACGCCTTGTCTATTGTGGTCAAGGAAATCAACATAATGAAATACATTATTATAGGCTACTTCCTTGTCAGTAGTGTCTAGGACAAATGCTATTTATTTGTATTAAACTAACTTCTAGCACTTAACTCTAGGAGTTCCATTTTGTTGGCATTTATCTAATAATCCAGAGAACCCACAACTATTGAAGGTTACAACTCCAAGTCACCAGGTATCACAAAGCAAGGCAGCAGGCCTTGTCTATTGTGGTCATGGAAATCTTCAACATAATGAACATATAATTAGAGGCTAGTTCCTTGTCAGTAGCGTTTATGAGAAATCCTATTTATTTGTATGAAACTAACTTCTAGAATTGATTCACACAAAAACCTTGTAAACATATATGTTATTTTCATAGTTCCTTGTCAATAGCGTTTATGAGAAATGCTATTTATTTGTATGGAACTAACTTCTAGAATTGATTCACACAAAAACCTTGTAAACATATATGTTATTTTCATAGTTCCTTGTCAGTAGTGTTTATGAGAAATGCTATTTATTTGTATGGAACTAACTTCTAGAATTGATTCACACAAAAACCTGGTAAACATATATGTTATTTTCATATAATGTAAAGCTCAGTATGAGTTAGCTTACCAAGACATCCACCCAAGTACTGGTTCCAAGCAAAATGGAAAATGCCAGCAGAACCTGAGAATAGAGGGGGGAAAGAGATTTAATTTATGCAGTCTACATAATCATAATGTTACTGACACAAAAAATGGCATGCACTACAACTCTCTTCTGTTGCAATATAATATTATTGAAAAAAATATGTCGGTCGAGGATCACCAGAAACATGGCTAAACATATTACATTAAAAGCATATTGGACAATCTACAAAGAAAATCCTAGCAACTGATACAGGGGAAAAAAGATAGAAAAAGAAGGCTTTTGTAGCAGGGCATTAATCTGTTTAATTAAATACAACCAAAAATAAATACTCACCCATGGTAGATAGGCAGCGGTAAAAGTGAAAAGGCCCAAGAAACTCATGTGGATGAAAGGATTATGCTTGCTCCAGACATAGACCTGCAGAAAATGTAATGAGGGGGGCCAAACTTTAGAAGTAGAAAGTTAATCCATATATTGTTGTTCATATATATATATAGGCACTATTTACTTTACAAGGGATTTTAGCATACAAATACTATAATTTTTCAATGTTACACATGTTTCATCTTGCTTAATGCATAGTTTTGGACATGCCGTACACGGATAAATTTGTTCTACTTGAACATATTTGCAAATAGGTTACACATGCCAGCATATATAGGAAAATACTAATCTGACAAGTAAAAAATTTGCATATGCTAATATTGAATTAATAAACAATCAGAAGGCTAACTGAATTATATATATATTATAGACTTACCATCATAAAAGTCAATGAATTACTGAGGAACACAATGCCTGCAAATTTCTCCGACACAAAGGGTATCATTCCACCTAAGAGAACAATTCCAGTCAAAGTAGTGGCACCAAATAAAAGCATGTAAAAGAAATCTGCAGTCCGTCCTCTGAATGAGTTCTCCTCAAGAAGCTTGCAGTATCGAGCAAGGAAAAACATGTGGAATAAGAAGTCCAGGTCTGTCAACAACAACAAACGCAAATGAATAAACCAAGATCAAGTAGATAAATTTAAGAATATCTTGAGGGTTCAAAATAAAGCAAATACATAAAGTAGGCAGAAGAAAACACTTCACAGAAACTTAAAAGTAGTTTTCACTGGAGATCTAAAATATAGCATACAATGATTCAATATAAGCAGCAAAATATTAAGGTTATGAAGCTAATGCACACAATTATATGAAATCAAAGGAATAAAAAAATGGAAGAAGAATCAGGCCATTGTATTTTCTTTTTCAAGGCCACTGAAAAATAGCATAACCTCTAAAGCACAACAGTACAAAAAAGAATTAATACCGCTGGAGGCATCAAGTAAATTAACAACATGAAGTGCTTCATTGGCAAAAGCGACACAATCCCCATTTTGATAATCAAGATAATATAACAATACAAGAGAAAGGAAAAATCATGAGAGAAATCCTTCTAACCCTTAAGTTGGACGGCATAAAAATAGATTGAAGTTTTCAAGACAGGAATGTCTATTAGCTACAAGTTTATTGTCTACATGTAACTTGTCATTGAAAACTTAGCAAGGAGAACAATAAGCTCCCAACACCTGCATAGGGATGTGTATTAAACTATAACTGATGAATTTTCGCCAAAGATTTGATTTTAGCTAATTTAGAAACAAATTACTATTCTTTTCTTACTCAACAGAAAATAGTAGAAAGACTAGAAACAGCAACTTGGTATACGAATCGTGGAAGTTTGGAGTTTTGAAGATGCTGTTTCTTTTTCCTCGTCTAACTCTTTACGTAAGCATGTGTAAATTGAAAAGCCTAAACAATAAGCAAATGACATTAACAAATGAAACGTCAAATTAAAGATTTGCATTGATTTTCACGACCAACAACAAATGAACTAAAGGTTTGACTTTACCCATTCTCCGAAAGTACAAGAAGTTTGTTATGAGGCGCCATATCTCCCACTGCTGAACTACAAGTTTTGGATTCAGGTACAACTGATACGGTGATATAATCTACAAAGACAGACAAACCCACAATTTATTAAGTGCTCAAACTTCAATCTACAGGACATAAGTATGGTGTCTCAAAAAAATTTAATGCAAAAAAGTTATTAAAAAAAGTAAAAAATCATTATCATTAATAGTGTTTTGATATTAAGCCCACTCTTTTACCTGACCACTTTTAATCCTCGCACTTCTAAAATCAATCACACACTCAAGACCTCCAACCTGATTTATTTTTAAACACCTATTCGCGATTTGTGCCCTTTAGTAGCGCATTAACTAATATGATAACAACTTAACAAGTATTGCAACAGTTCAGATCAAACTAGCACTTTAATTTAACGCAGTTTAACACGACATGCGCTACACAGATCCAACCAGCAACCAGTAATACATGAAATCTCTTCAAATTTTCAATTACCAAATAAAAAAATAAGACAAAATCACATTTTTCTATCACCAATCAGCTCGTATCCGCCCTAACTACTCACATGCAAAGGTCCAAAAAAATCAAAAAATCAAAAAGTCAAAATACCTCAAGGGAGCATCCGACGGTGGTGATAACAGCCGCGGTGAGGTACGACCGAGTGATGATCGGCATCTGCTTGTACCACTCCTCCACAGCTTGCGCCATCCCCAAATTCCAAACCCTAACCCTAACGCTAATCGATCGAACGAGGAACAAATCAGATCCCAACGAGCTTCAATCTCCAGAGGATTGAGGCGATAAAACGAACCTAGCCCCGATCACCAACGTTAGTGCTATGTATCATTTTTTTTTCAAATAGATAACTTGTTAAATACTTTATACAAAATATACATCTAATTACCTCAACATATATATACATGCATTTAAAAAAAGTTTCTGTTTAGATGAATATTTACAATCCGCTTGCTTGCTTGTTGTTCCCACATACTCAGTATTCTTTCTTTCTTTTTACTACTATAGTTTCTCTTGTTGCAATTTACTTATTAGAAGTTCTATGATTATGTAGAAAGCAAGTGAAAAGAATAAGGAAATTCGAAACAGTCAAACGCTCTTGCACACAGCAGGTTCAAAAAGTTTCGCAAGAATTCGCAGAGATATGGTAATCATGATGTTTATCTATGATTTACAGTGTAATTATGCATTAATAATAGCTCTCAGTCTCTGTTCTAAACAGACATCCTTTTATAAATGGAATATATTCAAATGGCACAATATCCGCTTCACTCTATATACTCTCTGTATGAATCTCTGTGACTGTTACTTATTCCTCATGTGGTAAGTTGTAGTATTATTACTAAGTTATCATAATTATAATATTGCTAAGATGAACTTGAGATAAGTATATTTGGTAAAAAAAAATATTTGGACGTCGAAATGAAAGTTTAAATGTAACCAAATACCGATATCATTTTCTAGGTACTTGGTCAGGGCTCGATGAATATGATGATATCATGATATCACTGGATTCAATTTTTGTCAATATTTTGAAATTCAGTCTGGATATGTTATCTAATTCAGATGTCATAATATCCACTTTGAAGACACCTGTAAGGGTATGATTCATAATTTCACATCCTATGATATATGTTCATGCCTGTGTGGCCATGTAACAACTAGAATACAACATGATGGAGATGCTCCAGTTACTAAATATACTTTAGATTATAAAAGGTTTTTTTTCATATAGTTTCTCGTAGATTTCTGCCTGTCTAAAATGTGCATGAGAATTAAGAATTTGAGTTTTGAGTAAAACTGTAAATGTTTTGAGTTAGGCTGATTCCTTATCTAAGTTCTGTCAACTTATCCCATCTTGTTTTGGGGTAACAAAGTTTTGAAGGGTTCGACTAAATAATTTATGTATTCCTATCTACCAAATTCTTTCTGCAATTTATGAAACATGTTCTATTGTCGATAGTATCTCATAAAAGACATTGTTTTGACAGAGATGTTAAATAAACATTTCAGTTAGACATTGTTTTGACAGAGATGAATTAGATTTCATTTATTTATTCCTTGCATAAAAGACATAGATGTTAAATAAACGTTTCAGTTACTTATTCTTTTTCCTCGTTGCTTTCTTCTCGCTCTCCTTTGTGTTCTTCTGCCTCTGATGTGGCTACATTCTGATTTTGCTACAGTAATAATATATCAGTGATTCTAATTGAGCTATTCTCCTTTTAAGTTCTGTCGAGCAAATTGCATTATGTAATAAAAGTGTTTGTTTTGATTAAATTGTGGCACAAAATATTTGATTGCATAACATGTATGTAGATATGATGTTTAACCATAATGACATTTTATTTTTGTTGATATTTTTTTGCCAAGTCTTTTGCAGAAAATGGTTATTTGTAGTTGTTCAAAAAATGTTAATGAAAGTCCCTTACTTCCATGCAGGAATTGTCATTTGAATGAAAAGCAAAAGGGCTTGTTTGATGGAGACCCTTAGCAATCTGTAGCCACCTATTTTACTCAAATGGAAGGTTTTGATGCAGGTGGGTTATTTCCTTTATGTTAAGCTATTTATTTTGAATAATTGCAATATCTTTTTTCCCCAATTTTATTATTTCATGCTATTTCATGCTATTGCATTAGCTTTGTACTTGTAAACTCATACATTTATTACCAAGGATCTTTCTCCCTAGCAGATAAACATGCACAGATGCCCAAAAGAAACCGACCGAACCCCTGACCCATTTCTGATAATAGCAGCAGTAAGTTTGACATCGCAAACAGGCACCAGTATCTGAAACCAACATCGAACTCATCCGAACACCTGATAATCTAGATCACCAATGGCCTAACTTATATGTGCATGCCCAGTGCTTTTTGTATACATGCAGTACATTTATTATGTGAAATGATAATTTTGTCCTGCGGTCACCTTTTTGCGATTAATACACGACTGATGTATAGAATATTCATTTATATTCATTTCTGAAACAAGACAAAGCTGCGAGTTGATCTAGGGCCGGGTTGTCCTTGAAGAGTTGATCTAGGGCCGGGTTGTCCTTGAAGATGCTTAGTTATTTGAATGTACCAAGATTGTTTTTTTTTTCAAAAATATTATACACAGTTATTTGGATGGTATAATGTCGTCTCGTCCTCTGGAGTTTTTGTCCGCAGCATGAAACACATGGAGACATCAAGGCTCAGTGCACTAGATAAAAGTTTTAGTTACATTTATTACCAAGGATCTTTCTCCCTAGCAGATAAACATGCACAGATGCCCAAAAGAAACCGACCGATGATAATATTGCACCTGTCCAGCAGAGAATCTGCAATGTAGATGTAGATAACTTTGAGAGGAACAAGTACAAAAATTTCAATGTTGGACCCTCTGTCCTTGCTAACAAAATCGCTGCAGGCCGCACTGTTCAGCAGAGAATCTGCAATACGTATTAATACTGATGATAATACTGCACCTGTCCTTAATTAACTTGCGACTTGTATTTTGTTTTGAAAGAAAATATCTTTCGTACATACAAATTTGACCTTAATCAACTTACAACTTGTATTTGTTTTGAAGGAAAATATCTTTCGTACATATAAATGAATAGAGTTCCTGCTAGTATATGATAGAAGATAGAAGCAGTCTTGACTGAGAGCTACTACCTGCCCTGCTTACTTTGCTATGTAGATCGCTTCCAAGAACCTGTATTGTCTAGCAAGTTGAACTAGATTCTCTTTTAGCTGGATAGCTCCATCTCCTATGGATTGTAGAATTTTACGCATATTGGTAGATTTTTGTGTTTCATGGATTGTAGAATCTATTATTAGTATTTGTTTGACCGATGTAATCATTTAGCGATGGCAGATCCTGAAGAACATACTATGACAAATAAGAAAATAGCAAAGGAGTAGTAAGAAACTCGAATTTGTTAGTTCAGTTGAGCTAATTATCCCAGGTACGAGGAAAGTATTTCTTCGATTGAAACAATCGGAACGAAATCATGTTTAAGTGACTTAAAAAAGACCCCCTTCGCTCATTCCCTGTTGGGATTATGGATAAGGGTGACGAATATGGCTGTGATTAGATGCTCTTGATAACTTTAGCCTTTTTTGTTAAAATGGTTGGATTTGGTTGTGGCAACAAACAAGCATGATGTACATTGTTCTCTTAACTTCCTTTTCAAACATCTTTTTTCCCCAATTTTATTATCATCATTGCAAAAATTATGCTGATTCATGGAAATTTACACAGGTACAGAAATGATGAAAGCCAAGATTGAGATTGATACTGACAGGTTCCTAGTGAGTATTTGACATTGAGGAACAAGTTTTTGGAAACAAATAGAGAATATAGTCTTTGACCGAGAAGTTTCATGTTTTGTAATCAAATGTTGATGTACATTGTTTGAATGTTAGTTCGGTACGATATTTTCTGAGTTGAAATGTTGGTAGTGTGGATTTAATACTTTGTAGTTTTTATACTATACTGATGTATGTTGGCACTTATCATTATGGTTGATTATGCTCAACATAATCACTTTTATATTGTGTATTAAAATTTGACTTGGCCATGTTCTTAAAAAGATTGTCCAGGTAATTGAATACTATAATTATTTTGACGTAGGAAACCAAGAACAGCTTCGATTGAGCAGTTGCAATAGCTCGATTAAAACCGTTGCGATAGCTCGATCAAAACCGCTGCGATAGCTCGATCCAAACTGTTGCGATAGCTCACTCCAAACTGTTGCGTTAGGTCTTTTAAAACTATTGCAATAGCTCCAACTGTCGCCGCAGCTTTATCAAAACCATACTTATAGCCTACTAAAACCGTTGTGTTAGGTCTTTTAAAACTGTTGCAATAGCTCCAACTGTCGCCGTAGCTCTATCAAAACCATAGCTTTAGCCTACTAAAATCGTTGCGTTAGGTCTTTTAAAACTGTTGTAATATCTAAAAAAACCGCTGCAGTAGCTTGAAAACTGTCGCAATAGCTCAATCAAAACCGCTGCAATAGCTTAAAAACCGCTTGCCTTTTAAAACCGTTGCGTTAGATGCGGGGGCAACGGTTCAAAAAACCGTCGCAATAGAGTTCAAAGCCGTTACGGTAGAGGTAGGGCAACGGCAGCATATGAGGCGGTTTGAGAACCGTCGCACTTGCTCAAGGGCGACGGTTCCATGGCTAGCGCAACGGTTTTGAACCGTTGCGTTAGAGCAAATATGTGGTAGTAAGGCTTTTAAGAAAATAATGAGCCGACATGAATGACTCCCCACCATTCATGAAATCTATACATAAAGCCATGTGCGAGTAATTCATTTGGCACTATTGAAAGTTAGCAAAAGAATGTCTCAACTAGGCGCTTTCGACACGACTGGACTAAGGCATGTGCGTGTTTAGAGTCTTAGACATACACTTTGAATTGACAGAGTTCACCATTGTAGCATGCATTTTATATTGCATGCACTTAGCGATCAAATAAAAAAGTGAATGAATGGGTCCACGCTTCCTCACTATTTGAATCCCGAGGTTATAAACTAATCTCATCTGTACTTCATCTGTTCCCTATGTGACTTTTGACTATGTCATGAAGTAGAGAATTAATGATAGCTACTTTATTGTGTTACCTATGGTCATACTTGATTCGGGCTAATGAGACATTATTGGGCAAACAGTTAGCTCCCGATTAAGTGGCATGAGGATGAAAGGAAGACTAATTTGAAATTACACACATCACTTGTATTTACCGGCTAGCCAGTTGTGTCACTTTTATGCTAGCGGACATGACTATGGCATATGTGAAGTTC